GTGGCACTTTGTGTCACCGGATGTTTATCGCTTGTGAGATGTCCTGGTGGGGTACAACAAGAGAGAGAGAGAGAGAGAGAGAGAGAGAGAGAGAGAGAGAGAGAGAGAGGCACGTTGCATTGATGAAAACGCTTTTGGATATTATTATTAGATTTGTAAACAACATGCTGCCGTAAATATTTATAATGAAGTAGGTCAATACAAGATAATCATAACCAATGAGAACGAGAAATGTCACAGTGTACATCTGCAAAAATATCTACATTCCTAAAGAGGTAAGTCGGTGCATCTAACTTAGGACAGTCAAAACATCTTGCTGAAATTGCCTTCTGGATACTAAAAGGAATCAGAGGGTACTGCTTGGTCTCGATGCATCGTGTCCGACTCGAGTGCTAGAGGTTCTGGGTTCAATCCCCGGTTAGGGCTGGGATTTTGTCACATGGACTTGGACTTTTATTCCCCCTGGTCTTTGGGTAGTCAGATCGGACGCCCGTGTGCATTGTTGCACATGTAAAAAATCCCTTGGTAGTTGGAAATCGAAAAGAGTAGCCTAACGGCGCTGCCCGGGGAAAATTTTGAGTTAAAAATCTACCCAAAGTATTTCAGGATCCTCGCCGGTGCTACAGAACCTGTGCACTGTGTTGAGTATGTTCGGACTCAGACTTGAGCTAAAGGAATAACGTAGCACTTCTGGATTACCACTCGTGAGCCATGATGTTCATCCGTTGTTCAAACCTCAAATAAATCAGCAACTTGCAAGATAATTTAAACACAAAAAAATAGGGAAAATCGTTAAAGGAATATTAAATAATGCAAATAATACAATAGAATAATTTAGATCTTCTTGCACTAGGTCCCACAGCTTCATAGATATAAAGGAAAACTAAATACACGGATGAAAGAATACACGAGTTAGACGATGAAAATTTGCATAGAGACAATCATCGTCATCATCAGTTTTCACTTCTGCTTTTAAGCGTTGTGGGGAGAAACAGTTTGCGATCCATTGCTTGATGGGCTGCAATGGCTTAGATGTACAATAACAGTCAAAGGCCTTATTTTAGGACAAGTATAGAAATTAAAGTACCTATGATTGTATGAACATAGATAACAGTCAAGAAGAGATGTTTTAATGAAGGAGAACAACAGAAGAGGTCAAGTTGAAATTGCATTTTAGAATAAAGAACATATTATGCAATAAATAGGTGAACAATTCTCGCATACTAAATCGAGCCGTTTTAATTCATTAGTGTGACTCCTTAACAATAGTAAACACGCCTAACAATTTATCGAGGCTTTAAAGGTGTGGTCTTACAGAACAATTTATAAAATGCCTAGCATGGCTCGCTAGCGTAGTTGGTTAAACCATACCGCGACGACCGGGTGACGAACTTCTTGTGGTCCAGGCTCAGGCCCGGGAGTAGCCAGAAAAGCCATTTTCTCCCACATTTACGGTATTTATCATGGAATGCAAGGCCGAAGGGTTGCAATATCCATAGTACCGAGCCATGGTGTCTGGATATTGAAAAAAAATATTGAATTCCATGGGGTTGGGGGGGGGGGGGGGGAGGGGGGTGCTAACAACACTAAGAAGAACACAGGAAAGAACGCACAGCATGAGTCCGCTGATCATCAGTAAAAAGATCCCTCGTCGACGATTGTTTGGGCCGATTAACATCCGAGACAATCTCCGAAGGTGGGCCGACATGGTTGATGACACCAGACCTCGATCTTCCCCTGCTGCACCATCTGACAGGGACAAGACAATATGGTCGACTTTGCCACAGGTATTGTTAGATTTGGTGTTTTATATTGTCCCTTCGGTTGGAAATTAGCTGTCTGCCTTCACGACCAGAGTGACAAAGATACGTTTGGTTCATTAGACAGGTGATAGACTTTGGCAATTAGCAGAGAGACACTGGCAGACATTTTCAACAAATACAACCCGCATGCTTTGAAAGAGGCGATGGTTGGAAGACTACTTCTAACAAACATCAAGAATGGTCTGGTTATGTTATGAAGAGGAAAAACAAACTGGAAAATATCGTGAGCACCAGGAAGATCTGTGGAAAAAAAGACAAGAGGAAGACAAAGTAGACCGTGTTTGACATCCTTTTGTCACTCATGAAAGGGTGCCAGAATAGGAACTGAATGTCGTAGATTATGGAGAAGCATGGTTGTCCACGATATGCAAATCACTTGATGATGATGGTAAAGATGGGACGACATTTTGTATGGGGAGGAGTGGGTTGCAAAAGGTTAGCATGCTTTAAATAGGACTGGATACGGGTCTCAGAAAGAGAAGAAGAAGAAGAAGAAGAAGAAGAAGAAGAAGAAGAAGAAGAAGAAGAAGAAGAAGAAGAAGAAGAAGAAGAAGAAGAAGAAGAAGAAGAAGAAGAAGAAGAAGAAGAAGAAGAAGAAGAAGAAGAAGTAGAGGTAGTAGAAGAAAAAGAAGAGGAGAAAGAAGAAAAAGTAAACGAAGCAGAAGAAGAGATAGAAAAACAAGTAGAAGAAGAAGAAGAATAGGAAGAAAAAAGAATAAGAAGAAAAAGTAGTAGAATGAGAAAAAGAAGAAGAAGAAGAATTAAAAGAGGAAGAAGAAGGAGAAGAAGAAGAAGAAGAAGAAGAAGAAGAAGAAGAAGAAGAAGAAGAAGAAGAAGAAGAAGAAGAAGAAGAAGAAGAAGAAGAAGAAGAAGAAGAAGAAGAAGAAGAAGAAGAAGAAGAAGAAGAAGAAGAAGAAGAAAAAGGATAAAGAAAAAGAAACAGAACAAAGAAGAAGAAGAAGAAGAAGAAGAAAAGAAGAAACGAAGACGGTGTCGACATGGAAAGACTGGACAACTGTATTTCTCAACTGTCCGAACAGGAGAAGTTCCCAAAGAACCTCCACTGCATTACGTGGAGTGTGATCTATATGTGCAGTGTTGTGAAGCGGGCAGTCAGTCGGTCTGTTCTTGAGTTTAGTCAATAACATGGACAAAAGAAGACGTATTTGCTGACATCAGACACATGAGTTACATTGGAATGCTACTGCTCTTGCGGGATATTTCAATGTACAACTCCACAGTAGCAATCTCTCCGTTAGCCTCTTGAATGGGAATTTAAAAAATGCATTTCCAAGACTAGGCAAACATTAAATCAGATTGGCTTCCTTACGTCAGCAAAATATTGCTGGAAGTTTGTTGTTATGAGATTTCGGAATAAGAATGTGAAAATGAAAATGTCTGCTGTTAATTTAAATGAAGCATGACTGGGTGGAAGACAAAGCATGGATGGAGACGGACAAGAGAATAACATGAAGAAGGGAAATAACTTACAGTCACAGTAAGGCGAAAAACCAATGTTTTCACGACTTCTATCTCGACCACCTTCAACTTGCTGTTTGCAGCTAGTCGCCAACAGTCTCCGGTTATATTTCTAGCCTGGTTTTTTTTTGGGGGGGGGGGGGGTGGGAGGGGGGTGTGGGGGGGGGGGAGGTTTCACTACTTGCATGGTTAAGTTTGTGTTATGTGCCCCAGCTGTCTTGCCTAATGTTCCTTTCCTCATAGATGGACCGCTTGTTCCTTGTCGGTGTCCTACTGTGCTCCTTATATCCTCACCTTTTTTACCTTGTCCCACGTGGATCATCCTCCGTTAGGTTCATTCTCGTGTCATGACTTTTAGGTATCAGATATAGTGTCGTTTTTCTGTTGATTGATGAATGCCGCTTTCTGGTAATCTAGTAATCTGGTAATTTTAATTTCAGCTTCATAGCAAACGGGTCACCCCATCTTTGCTCCGCTCCTGTGCCAACGAAAAACACACAGAATATTTATCACAGTCCCTTGTAGAAAGACTGACAAACTGCTGTCTCAGCAAATCTAGCATACACTCGCATTAAAAGCATATGGTAGCCATCCGAAGTGCTAACACAAACAGTCTGACGTTAGAAATGAAGTTCATCATTGATGTTAGCAGAAGTCACCAAAAAGATCAGCAGTTGCACACGCGATCAATTTTAATCAAATAATGGCCCCACCAATATTGCGACAACCGGCATCGCGCCGCTTTACTTCCATTGTCATTTTCGTAGTATACATATGAGGTTGAGTCAACATGGGAGACAAGGTCAGTTATACAGTATCATGTGAAGAGGGAAACTGGAACATGTTTTGATCACTGGAAAGATCTTCGTTGCTGCAGATATCACCCGTCCTCCATTCATCTTTCTGGTTGGCCATCTCTTTCCAGATGGTGGTACCAAGTGTTTGAGGTCTATCTTGATCTTATCTCTCCATAGTCTTCGTGGTCTGCCTCGTGGTCTACTTTCATTCAGCTCCTTTGTGTATGCAGTTTTTGCCTCTCTGTTATCTAACATTCTCTCCAAATACCGCAGCCATTTTAGTCTATTAGCCGCATGATGCCAGTGATCAGTGGTGATTTAAACAGATTATGCATTTCACTGTTGCTTCTTACTTTGCATTCCTTCCTGGCTGTCTGCATCTTTGATAGGTCATAAGAGTTGTCCTAAGAATGTTTTTGAAAATGTGTAATGAGGCTTCATCTCTTTTATTTGTGCTCAAAGATTCAGAGCCATATAAAACAACTGGTCTTATAACGTTGATTATATTCTGATCTTGATGTTACGAGATAGAGGCTTACATTATCAGCCGCTGAAGATCACAGAATACTTTATTTACACATTATATTATAATTTTTTTTTCTCTCTAAACAAGCTGAAGCAGTTGTATTTGGACTCTGGTACTTATGTTTCCATTTTCGTTTGATTTTCATGTTACTGAAGCTAGTTGCGTAACCTTTAAAGGGCGTTGCAAAACCAATCTCCAGCATTTATTGGCTGTATTTTTTTTAAGGGTCAATTTTCGTTTCGTAGGTTTCCACTTCCTACTGAACGGTGAGCTCTCGGTGCCACTGCAGAAACTAGCACAGAATAAATCGTCCGGGGTTCAGCAGGGATCGAACCTGGCGCCCCGACATTACAAAGCGCATTCACAACGCCTAAGCCACGGAGGCAGACATTCCCAGCAGTAGCTACCCGAATTCGTCGTTTTTGTCTGCTCACACAAAGGAGAGTGAAGACATACTTGACAGCCAGGGGAATCCGTCACACACACAGGAGCAACCAGTACTACAGCATTCTAGTCTGGCATACATTTAAGAAAGGCTCTTAAAATGACTACGCTTTCTAATGGGGAAATAGTTTGCTTCGATGTGTTGAAATAAATAAGGATCGGGTTTCCAGTATATCGGTACATCTGACATGCTTAGTTTACTTAGAGCGGTCTTCGTACATTCCCGAATGCTTTTCTTTGATCCTGATAACATCGCTTTCTTTGTTCTCATATCCTGTTTGTGTTATTTCTTCCGGGGCAATTTTTTTCTCTGGATTCAGCACTTTTTTTCTTATAAATGCTGAGCACCCACAATCTTACTATTATGTTGATAAGAACTTTTTGTAAATGCTAAACACCCACGATCTTACTATTATGTTGATAAGAACTTTTTGTAAATGCTAAACACCCACGATCTTACTATTCTGTTGATAAGAACTTTTTGTAAATGCTAAACACCCACGATCTTACTATTCTGTTGATAAGAATACAGTAAGAGCCTGATAAAAACTAGAAAACAGGAAATCAGGAATGAGGTCATATGATATAAAGTAGGCACAGAATCAATTCTAAATTATATACAGCAAATCAAATTGTTTACCCACTTGGAGAGAATGCCTTCTGATACTATACCATACAAGGCATATACCAAAAGAGGAGAGGGATGTAGAACAAGAGGTAGACCAAGAACAACATGGGAATATATCATCAGAGAATCATGACAGCACCACGATGTGTCTATGGTCGAAGCAGCCAAAAGAGCACGAAGCGGGACTTTTATAACTCCCTCGACGCCAAAAGCGGTACAAGAGGACGTAAAGAAGAAAATAAGAATACATCATCATCATCATCCGCAGTGGTTTATTTGCATATTCTCGCTCTATTAAATCTATACAGATGGTTCTGTATTGAGAGGCAGACGAAATACATGGGAGTTTATAGCGAGGGGAACAGATGTCACTTAGTGCAACAAAGCCTGGCATATGATATCACAACGTGTAATTTAAGAATGGAGGTGGAGGCAGTCACTGTGTAGAGTGGTAAGCTTCACGTCAGAGGTCACACGTAGTTAGCATCCTTTGGATATTTTTTTCAGGCAATGCCGGTGTTGCGAAATGAGCAGGCAGATAGACTGGTCAGTTCTATACCACTTGGTGGTAAATTGATGTATGACAAGCTATATTTTGCGAGGGCCCTCTGGGAGCGAGTGAACAGTGCGGAAGCGCAAATAGATAATTACGTTATAAGGAAAATGGCCCTGCGAAGTGTTACCAGGGGATCTGGCCGACGCTCAACACTCAGAGGAAGGGCGAGACGGATATACACTCAGACAGTCACAGATGCTATCGAAATTGCAACTCTTCGTTAGCTGCTGAAGATCGGGACGGAACGCTTATGGGGGCGTGCCGAGTGCTATGATGTCGATTCTCAACTTAAATTCAATATTCAACACTCAGTGTTGCTCTCGCCATGATACAACTGAAAGCTAACGATATTCTAGGCAGCCTGTGCACCTGGTGAACTTTCAAGTTTAGTTTATTATTGATATCCTGTGTCCACTGTACTGTTGGCTGACATTAAGTCTAGTTCGTTATTGATATTCTGTATCAACTGTACTGTTGGCTGACCTTAAGTCTAGTTTGTTATTGATATCATTAGTCAACTGTACTGTTGGCTGACCTTAAGTCTAGTTTGTTATTGATATCCTGTGTCCACTGTACTGTTGGCTGACCTTAAGTCTAGTTTGTTATTGATATCATTAGTCAACTGTACTGTTGGTTGACCTTAAATCTAGTTTGTTATTCATATCCTGTGTCAACTGTACTGTTGGTTGACCTCAAGTCTAGTTTGTTATTGATATCCTGTATCCACTGTACTGTTGGTTGATCTTAAGTATAGTTTGTTATTGATATCCTGTGTCCACTGTACTGTTGGCTGACCCTTAATTCTAGTTTTTTATTGATATCCTGTGTCCACTGAACTGTTGGCTGACCTTAAGTCTAGTTTGTTATTGATATCCTGTGTCCACTGTACTGTTGGCTGACCTTAAGTCTAGTTTGTTATTGATATCATTAGTCAACTGTACTGTTGGTTGACCTTAAATCTAGTTTGTTATTCATATCCTGTGTCAACTGTACTGTTGGTTGACCTCAAGTCTAGTTTGTTATTGATATCCTGTATACACTGTACTGTTGGTTGATCTTAAGTCTAGTTTGTTATTGATATCCTGTGTCCACTGTACTGTTGGCTGACCTTAAGTATAGTTTGTTATTGATGTCCTGCGTCCACTGAACTGTTGGCTGACCCTTAATTCTAGTTTTTTATTGATATCCTGTGTCCACTGAACTGTTGGCTGACCTTAAGTCTAGTTTGTTATTGATATCCTTTGTCAACTGTACTGTTGGTTGACCTTAGGTCTAGTTTGTTATTGATATCCTGTGTCCACTGTACTGATGGCTGACCCCTAAGTCTAGTTTGTTATTGATATTCTGTGTCCACTGTACTCTTGGCTGACCTTAAGTCTAGTTTGTTATTGATATCCTGTGTCCACTGTACTGTTGGCTGACTTTAAGTCTAGTTTGTTATTGATATCCTGTGTCAACTGTACTGTTGGTTGACCTTAGGTCTAGTTTGTTATTATTATCATGTGTCCACTGTACTGTTGGCTGACCCCTAAGTCTAGTTTGTTATTGATATTCTGTGTCCACTGTACTCTTGGCTGACCTTAAGTCTAGTTTGTTATTGATATCCTGTGTCAACTGTACTGTTGGCTGACCTTAAGTCTAGTTTGATATTAATATCCTGTGTCCACTGTACTGTTGGCTGAACCTAAGTCTAGTTTGTTATTGATATCCTGTGTCCACTGTACTGTTGGCTGACCTTAAGTCTAGTTTGTTATTGATATCCTGTGTCCACTGTACTGTTCTCTGATCTTAAGTCTAGTTTGCTATTGATATCCTGTGTCCACTGTACTGTTGGCTGACCCTTAAGTCTAGTTTGTTATTGATATCCTGTGTCCACTGTACTGTTGGCTGACCTTAAGTCTAGTTTATTATTGATATCCTGTGTCAACTATACTGTTGGTTGACCTTAAGTCTAGTTTGTTATTGATATTCTGTGTCCACTGTACTGTTGGCTGACCCCTAAGTCTAGTATGTTATTGATATCCTGTGTCCACTGTACTGTTGGCTGACCTTAAGTCTAGTTTGTTATTGATATCCTGTGTATAATGTACTGTTGGCTGACCTTATGTCTAGTTTGTTATTGATATCCTGTGTCCACTGTACTGTTGGCTGGCCTTAAGTCAAGTTTGTTATTGATATCCTGTGTCCACTGTACTGTTGGCTGACCTTAAGTCTAATTTGTTATTGATATCCTGTGTCCACTGTACTGTTGGCTGACCTTAAGTCTAGTTTGTTATTGATATCCTGTGTCCACTGTACTGTTGGCTGACCTTAAGTCTAGTTTGTTATTGATATCCTGTGTCCACTGTACTGTTGGCTGACCCTTAAGTCTAGTTTGTTATTGATATCCTGTGTCCACTGTACTGTTGGCTGACCTTAAGTCTAGTTTGTTATTGATATCCTGTGTCCACTGTACTGTTGGTTGACCTTAAGTATAGTTTGCTATTGATATTCTGTGTCCACTAAACTGTTGGCTGACCTTAAGTCTAGTTTGTTATTGATATCCTATGTCCACTGTACTGTTGGCTGACCTTAAGTCTAGTTTGCTATTGATATCCTGTGTCTACTGTACTGTTGGCTGACCCTTAAGTCTAGTTTGCTATTGATATCCTGTGTCCACTGTACTGTTGGCTGACTCTTAAGTCTAGTTTGTTATTGATATCCTGTGTCCACTGTACTGTTTGCTGACCCCTAAGTCTAGTTTGTTATTGATATCCTGTGTCCACTGTACTGTTGGCTGACCTTAAGTCTAGTTTGTTATTGATATCCTGTGTCCACTGTACTGTTGGTTGACCTTAAGTATAGTTTGCTACTGATATTCTGTGTCCACTGAACTGTTGGCTGACCTTAAGTCTAGTTTGCTATTGATATTCTGTGTCCACTGAACTGTTGGCTGACCTTAAGTCTAGTTTGTTATTGATATCCTGTGTCCACTGTACTGTTGGCTGACCTTAAGTCTAGTTTGCTATTGATATCCTGTGTCTACTGTACTGTTGGCTGACCCTTAAGTCTAGTTTGCTATTGATATCCTGTGTCCACTGTACTGTTGGCTGACTCTTAAGTCTAGTTTGTTATTGATATCCTGTGTCCACTGTACTGTTTGCTGACCCCTAAGTCTAGTTTGTTATTGATATCCTGTGTCCACTGTACTGTTGGCTGACCTTAAGTCTAGATTGTTATTGATATCCTGTGTCCACTGTACTGTTGGTTGACCTTAAGTATAGTTTGCTATTGATATTCTGTGTCCACTGAACTGTTGGCTGACCTTAAGTCTAGTTTGTTATTGATATCCTGTGTCCACTGTACTGTTGGCTGACCTTAAGTCTAGTTTGCTATTGATATCCTGTGTCTACTGTACTGTTGGCTGACCCTTAAGTCTAGTTTGCTATTGATATCCTGTGTCCACTGTACTGTTGGCTGACTCTTAAGTCTAGTTTGTTATTGATATCCTGTGTCCACTGTACTGTTTGCTGACCCCTAAGTCTAGTTTGTTATTGATATCCTGTGTCAACTGTACTGTTGGCTGACCCTAAGTCTAGTTTGTTATTGATATCCTGTGTCCACTGTACTGTTGGCTGACATTAAGTCTAATTTGTTATTGATATCCTGTGTCCACTCTACTGTTGGCTAACCTTAAGTCTAGTTTGTTATTGATATCCTGTGTCCACTGTACTGTTGGCTGAACCATAAGTCTATTTTGTTATTGATATTCTGTGTCCACTGTACTGTTGGCTGAACCTTAAGTCTAATTTGTTATTGATATCCTGTGTCCACTGTACTGTTGGCTGACAATAAGTCTAGTTTGTTATTGATATCCTGTGTCCACTGTACTATTGGCTTAACCTTAAGTCTAGTTTGTTATT